TTATCAAGATCAAAACTAGTATCTGATTTGTAATATTTTCAGGATGAAATCCAGATAGGATTATGCATCTATGATCAAATCTAGTATATGATTGACTCATGTATTTAATTGTACTATTAGAATCGAATCCAGTATCAGTATATTCCACCAGGGTCAAACTGAGCACCTGAATATACCTCCATGAATGTCATCATCTTATGATACATCATCAGTATCAAATCATGTATCATATTATATCATCAGGATTGACTGCATCATCGTAATACACAATCAGGATTGAATCAGATATCTGATTATACCATCATGAGTGAATCAAGTATCTGATTATAACATCTGGATCAAATGGTGTATCTTGTTATACCATTATCCTCGAAGCCAGTATCTGATTATTGTAAAATACTTTATTTTAGCTGGAATTGAATCTAGTACTTATCAAGTTCAAGTCTAATGGCTGATTATTTCTGGTTATATTATCAAAATCATAAGCTGATCTGATTATAGTAACTGATCGAATCTTGTTTAGGAATATACCATCAAGATTCAATCCAGTTTCTTCTGAACCAGTATCTGAGCATAGTTTATTCTCTAATATCTTAAAATAATCAAGATAAGTATCTAATTATAAAGTCTATAGTATATTTTTCATTCATTCTACAATACAGATTGGAGAAGGTCTTTATATCTGTAAGACTTAGTACCATCTGCGACTACATCATTTAAATAAGTGTCATCTAATCTAACCTAAACAAAACGCCTGCATGAATATTACATTGACTAGCAAGAGTCCCAATCTGGAAAAAGCTTCCTTCGTGTTTATAATGTTAATCAAGGCTCATTGTCGGAATAATTTGCACAAGTGGCCACAACATAATCACATATTTATTTTACCATTTTTTATTCTATGAACTGTTCATCTATAATCCATAGTCATTTAACAAAATTGCTACTCATTCTTATTTGCATCACTAATTGTATTACTGAAAACTCATACTGTTAAAAATAAGCTATACGTGAGGTAACGCTAGATATACGAGTGTAACATTAGATTAGTGATTTCCTGCAATTTATGCTTCCTATGTCAGCATTTGAATTTCAGCATGGAAACACCACCTTTCCACATATTACACTAAAAGTGTACACGTACACACTTTCTGAATCAGTCTAGATTGGTTACTTTGGCAAGTTTAGAATTGTGAACATTATCAAGGGATTGTTCATTTAGAGTCCTGTTACTTTGGTGTCAGAATACTCGCAGTTAAAAAAGCTATAATAGCATTTCTGTCATTGCAATCTCATTTAGCAGATTAATGAGCGTTCTGTGAATTCAGTCTGTGTTTGGTTGACCTGAACAACATTATTTTGCATTATCCTCATGTGTGTAGCAGAAAAGCAATCAGTACATTTTAAGAGTGCTAAATATACATCTCTTGACTCATTACATGGATACAATTGACCCCAATAGACGCCACCATTGTTTAATGTAGCAATTCCCTTGTCAAAAACAAACATTAATTCAATTCTAGTGAACAACTGAAGATAATTGTGACGTGTGATCACCTTATAAGAAACAATTTGTATTGTTTACATCCTTCAAACCTAAATTGTATGAGATGATAATATTGATATTTAATTGCAGGTGTTAAATACTGTTTTGAAACATTAATATTACCATTTGTTGCAAGAGATTTTTGCTTGTGACGAGCATCTTCCATACCCGTGACGAACGGCTCATCAGATTTCACTGATCAAAAATAGAATGTTGTATAATAGTAATTGTTAATAATAGGTACACATAGAGTCAATTGTGAATGAAAGGCACTATTCGAACTCGCGATCACAAAAATTGCTAAAAATGACGTGGAAACTGTTTATTAGTTCCCGTTCAAATTAAGTCCTTTGTCGATGACTGATTGATTCATCTAATTCAAACTTAACACATACGTTATACTACACATAAACACATACAATTTCAATTTAAAATGGGATTTCAAAGCTGAGAATGCATGTCCGAGCCGAATTTACTCGTACTTTTAATTTTGTTCAAACATGACAGAATTTTGCTGCATGTCATTTTGTTTAACAAATCGAATTCAATGATAACTTTGTCATGTCTCGACCAATCATGTACAAACTTCACACATACATTGTACGTGCATTCGTTTTACGATACAACACAAGATAGACGAATGGTGGTCTTTTTAGTGCTTAAAGTGCAGTAAAAGCAAGCATTTCTTCATGCTTGTCTTGATTTTTTTACATTGTACATAATCTTTTTTCTCAAATAGGATGTATTGCTGATCGATTGAGAGGCATTTTGTGACGTTCCGGAGCCACATCTTTGACTAGTTTTGGATCTGGTGTCTGTTATAGTATAATTGCACAGATATTTGTTGAACTATAATTTGGGCATTTATTCTTGCATGTTCAAATGTGGTACATAACTATAAAATTTATCAGAGCTTTTAATGAACTTGCACTGAAAACGAATGGCACGTAATCACTTGTTTTCAGTCGAAATTGGTTTTAACTTGCCATGCAAAGTTTGCGAGGTCATTCGTATTCGTATTTGTTGTCTCCTTTGCCATGTAATATCTAATGAAGTCTGTGTACAGCGTTTTCAATATTCCTGTATTACTGTCTTAATTGTTTTAACTCTGTGTCTGAAATACCTTATGCAGGCAGTTCTTCATTGCATAATTAGTATACGCCATGAATGGTCTCATTCTAATGTTTCCCATTAATGTTTTAAAGCTTTAGCTTTAGAGATAATATACAAGCCATATCACCTCAATCTATTCTTTATTTTTGTATGGTTGGCTTTTATTACTCTGAAATGGCACAAGAATGGCATGGCAATTTACAGTTGTCATATCTTATCAAATGCAATGTCATTTCTAGAAGATGTGACAAATGTTGTATATGCAATATGCATATACATATATTGAATTGCAAAATAAGCGTCAGTATCAGTGTCACTTGGTTAATGTCTGTGGGTGACCATATGTCATATCCAATTTGTGACAGAGTATGTCCATTCACATTAAGTGCACATAAAGGTTAATTGAATTTTATACTTCGGAATACAGTTCACTCACGAGCATTCATTTTCCAAGAGTGAAAATTTCAATTTGCACAAATCCTTAAAACAGAATTCATTTGCAAATGAAGTATTGCCACTCAGTATATATGCTCTTATAATTTATGTATCCTATGTTATCTTCCTGATTAATTCATTAGCTATAAGTGATACTTTTTAGCTCTGCAATTTAGGAATTCATCTTGAAGCCAGTTTTGTGAGATGTATATTTCGACATAAAACGATCTACATCAATATATAAATGACACACCGTGTCAAATTGTAGACACAAGTCATAACATGTATTTGAATATCACTAATTTAAAACAACAAAACAAATGGTTGCTGGTTACATATTTCTTACAATCTATGCTTTTGTGTGGTTATAGTAGAAATCATCTGTCGCACACTAGAAGAAACAAACTTGGTCTAAATACTTATATTATAATAATGTATTGCTTATCTAATTCACTTTTCATTTTTGTTGCAATTAAGATACTACTAATATTACATTTAACATTTAATCATATGTAATTGTGTCTATTTTAATATTTCTTTCCAGGAAGTATATGGTGATGGAAGTTGCAATTGGAAAGAAAACAAAGAGTGTGATTGGGCAGCTAGAAACACTGATAGTCAATCATCATAATGCATATCTATATGTAACAATAAATATATTTAAAAATATAAAAATGTAGCTACTAAATATATATACAGTTTAAGTCATTTGGACTACATCTTACATACACACTAATGTATCACATATTGCATAATGTTATGTGATATTATCTACGCATAGCTAATTTACATGTAACAATGAGTGCTGACCTCATTAATTAAAATATAATTATTGTTGTTGAAAATTGTATTAGGGATGATATATTTTATAAACATACTAGATTACAGAAAAATGTAATAACTTGTCATTAAACCATTCTTAATAACCACTTCAGATATTGTTATAGTGTGTAAACATACATTTCTCACGTTTCAACAGTTATTTGCCAAGATAATATACTTGAAACTTGGCGTCTCTTGTCTTTTGTCCACGTCGTTCTACATTTTTAGTGCTGTCGCCATGACGATTGATCGAACAACCCAGACAGAAAATGTAATCCATAATCTTTGAACACAACTGTGTAATGTCTACAATAAAAGAAAAATGATTGGCTCGCCCTGTAAATGTCTGAAACATTTCCGATTTTTGTAAGTTAATCATGTGAAAACCTAAATGTCACAATGTGTGTAGAATTTTCCTATGTTATGGTTAGATGAATAACTTACTGGCACATAAGTTATTTATGTATACTTTCCTCTTGAATTATGATTGTTAGATATAATAAATGTTGAAATACACATATGTTACAATGAATAAATGAATATTTTACAACAGCAACAATCTTTCACACAGACTTTATTGAATATCTCTGTTATGCTGCGCCTGGGTTAGATGGTATATTATATAATGTTGAATTTATTCTGTTAATGTAACTATCAAGAAAATTAAAGTTATTGGGATTTACTTAATCCTATCACAAAGCACAGTGATATTCATTATAAATGAGAGATATAATGTACAGAAACCATCCAATTGTAACCATCATCGATGTGAGCTGGTTCAGTCGCACGGAGCCACTAACATACACTCAATATGCTGGGTCTTAACAGGCCAGAGCGTGCTCATTAAATAGCTCCGACCCGGATTAATGTTTGACCATATTGCATATTATCTATAAATTGTGCACACAGTGTGTTCATGATGTGTGTTTTTGCTGCATCTACAAAACCTACTCTGTGTTAGATGGATGGATTTAAGTATGTATGACTGGTTGGTTGGTTTGTTTGTTTGTTCATTGATTCGTTGATTTTTACCATAAGACATTTTATCACAAAATTGCAGTGGAAATTGTTATGATTGCCAGTATTGCAAAATACTATTAACCATACTGTACGGTGTGGCACTATGCAAAAGCTGGGTTTTTGAGTCACATCAAGAGGTTTAAGCTTCATGTGGCACCCTTAAATTATCCCTGCATTTATTTATATACATTTAGCCTCTCACATCAGTTGCAAATTGATGTTCCAGATTTTATAATTGTTATGAATTGATATTTTAGACTGTATAATTGTTATGAATGTTTAGTTGTTATGAATTAATGTTCCAGAATGCGTAAATGTTATAAATTGATGTTCCAGATTTTGTAATTTTTATGAATTGATGTTTTAGATTCTGTAATTGTTATGAATGTTAAGTTGTTACGAATTGCATTTTCAGAATGTGTAATTGTTATGAATTTATGTTTCAGAATGTGTAATTGTTCTGAATTGATGTTTTGACTGTGTAATTGTTATGAATTGATGTTTAGACTGTGTAATTGTTGTGAATGTTTAACTGTTATGAATTAATGTTCCAGAACGTGTAATTGTTATAAATTGATGTTCCAGATTTTGTATATGTTATAAATTTATGTTTCAGAATGTGTAATTGTTATAAATTGATGTTCAACATTGTGTAATTGTTATGAATTGTTGGTTTAGATTATGTAATTGTTATGAATTGATGTTTTAGATTATGTAATTGTTATGAATTTATTTTTCAGAATGTGTAATTGTTATGAATTGATGTTTTAGACTGTGTAATTGTTATGAATTGATGTTTAGACTGTGTAATTGTTATAAATTGATGTTCCAGATTATGTAATTGTTATAAATTTATGTTTCAGAATGTGTAATTGTTATGAATTGTTGTTTTAGATTATGTAATTGTTATGAATTGGTGTTTTAGACTGTGTAATTGTTATGAATTAATGTTCCAGAATGTGTAAATGTTCTGATTTGATGTTTAAGACTGTGTAATTGTTATGAAAAAGGAATGTCGCAACAACAGGAGGAGTGTTTAATGCATTACAGGGTTGCTAGGTCCATGAGACGTAGATCACTTTAACAAAAAAAGAACTGCCCATCCATCATGAACCACTGACATCTCAGTCGTGGTACCAGGAGCATACCTTTCTGACTTGGTCTCATATTGTAATACATGTCAAGTAAAAAGGATCTGCCAGTAATCTTTACAAGTCATAAGTGAGCTATGTAGAGCCGTTATTATGAATGCTTCCATATTCGGTAATTGTCTGTTCATGTCTCCCGAACAACTGTTTATAGGCTCGTCTATTTCTCCAGTAACTGACATTCTAGACTGCGTGACTGTTGTGAATTGATGTTCCAGACTGTGAGATGTATATGTGATATATATATATATATATATGTAAATGGCTTGCTAGTCTAACTGTATGGTCATCATTGTTTTGATTTGATTAGTGGTGTACACATATCAATGGACTCATAACTGGTAACGACGAATGTGTAAAATAGAGTAGAATAGAACACAAATTATAAATTGACACAAAATAATATACACGGAATATATATAATACAAGTCTACGGGTTATTTTAACGTATTACGGAGCACATACGCGCACGAAGTGTGGGAAGGAGTGAGGAAGTGGAAAAGGGTATAACACAATTTAGATATGTACTAATATTATCTGTGAATTGAACGAAAACAATTCAACCTGCCGTGAAATAAGCATGAGCAAGGAACAGAGATTGTAAAGTATCCTCGTAATAACCTTATTATTATACATCTTTTCCTCCCAGGAATACATCATGGGAATGCCGAAATCCAAAACGTTTAGAACAGATTTAGCGAACTTTTTTTGTATGGGGTCCGGCCAAACCCTGGGGGCAGCCACGTTTTTTTTAATTATTATTATTAGAGGACGCTCATGCGCATAACCTTCCATATTTGGAATTCGCGTTTCCTAATATGGTAGGATGAAAATATAGCGTTACGGTGAAGGATGTATAATAATACTCTATTGAAATACAATCGATCTATGATAACAATAGTGGAGCAGAATTCTTTCTTTGACGAATAATCATTATTACAAACAGTCTTCACTTCCCGAGATTGGATGTCATTGCACGTATGATCTCAATCAGTTGGGTGATCTAATAGCCGAAGGTGAACTTCAATGGTTCATTTACCAAATTGATTTAGCAATGTGTCATTATTTGCTTAGAGGCAGGTAACTGTATTCAACATAAACTAGATAAGCATAACTCGTATAACGGCAAAACATAACAACTGGTCGGCCATGTCAATTCTATGTCTGTATGTGACGCAGACAACTGTACTAACACCCCCGTACTGTGTAAGGTACGTTGTTTATAATGTACAATCCAAAACGAAAACAGCTGTTTCCTGCCGTTCGATTTTGATCGATTTTCTATTCTACGGTTACTTAAAGTCGATTCATCTTATTTCCAAACGACTGAATCCTGTGTGTTCATTCAAAACATACACACAACACTGTATAATCTTTATACGACAGTATTACATCAACTGGGAGAACAAATATTGCAATACAGTATAAGAAACAGTAAGTGAACGATATACATTATAATCACTAGAACCCGACAGTAAACGTTGCAGTGAAGCTTCACATGTGTATTCTAGATATAGTCTCCTACTGAAAATAGAGTATTGCAGTCATACTAACAGCCTGGGAAAAATTGACGACCCATGCACATTAAACTAGCAATAATTGACAAGATGCGTTCATCAAGTACTCAGTAGTCTCCTAATAACAAATTCGACATCATGCGGACAATTTATTCATCGGAATCGTACAAATACTTAATTAAGTTTGTTTGGAGAATAAATTGCTATACCCGATACGACGCGTGTGAACCGAGACTTCTAGGTAGGAAGCGTTCACGGGTATTGTGTGTAGTGATATGCACCGAGCCTTCCAGTTATGAAATGTGTTCAGGACAGTGATTGGCGTTTGATGATATACACCGAGTCTTCTAAGTACGCAATCTAGACCCTCGGAAACGCCATTTCCTGCATTTTGAGGGGCATAAAAGGATTCAGCTCGATTTTGAGAGGGCGATCCTTCTAAAAAAAAATTCGAGGGGGCGAATATGTACATCATGTGAATGACATGTGGTAATATACACCAACGCCCTCCACGCATGGGATGTACAGGAATCTTACACCGAGCCATTCACGTTAGAATCAATTTGTAGACTAGATGTATTGGTCTTTGTGTTTTAGCACCGTTTTGATTCTTGATGAACGCTTTTTATTGGTCTTCAAGGATTAATTTCAGGTGCTGGAGCTGAAAGTAGACGCTTTCGTGGGAATAAGAATGGAAAATATACCCTGTTCGAGACTCGGTGGCCAAGTGACTGTGTCGGTGGCACCCCACCTCAACACTCCAACACAGCCAACAGCCCCGTGATATGATACTATCTAGTGCTTTCCCCTCAACCAATGATCGAGTAATGGGTAAAAAAGAAAACAACAATTTAGAACACTGAAGTAAAAAAAAAATATGAACGAAACATCTAGTATTCAATCCCACGTTATATTAAAATGTG